AGAATTCTCAGACGACATGGTAAACACAAAGTTTTTTTTATTTAAACTCTCAACTTAGGATCCCTCCTTATATCGACATAAGCTCCACACACAACAATTCAGTTCTGGACTTAATCTGAGCACAAAAAACAGCACCAATTTCCAAAGAAGAAATATGACGAGACTGATTTTTAGATCTGCATGAAGAACAGTCCCAACCTACTGGTTTTCCAATAAGTTCCACCACAACATTAATCAATAAGATAGATCCTAACACACATGAAATCAGACTAATGAGCAGAGAGCAGGTCATCTGTGACCTACAATCACCTTTTCACAGGTATGGGATCACACGATCCAACAAACAGGTCATCGGGCGCTTCAGAATAAAGCATGCTCGTTCCTCTTCTTCTCCATCTCCGGTTGCCGAAAAACGCGTAGGCGAGCCAGGATTAGCTTGGGTTTTCATACAGGGAGTCTGCTTCTAGGGAGACTTGTCCACGCCTTCCAACATTAGGGATTTTGAAGTATCCGAGTTCACTTTCCCCTGCAACTGAGAAATTTCAACCCCCCTTTCTCCCCCTTTCCATCTACTCACCGTTGGTAAGATCTCAGGCCAGATTTGAATTGAGAACAGGGACTCACCAGCCGCCACCTCCACCCTATTCGGAATATCTTCACCTCTACAGACCTTCATTCTAACCCATTCGCAAGTAGTGACTTCAGAAGGGGAATCATCAGTTTCAATGAAGCCCCCACACACATCTCCAATGGCTTTAATCACACTTGGGCACCAGAGGAGAAGTGGGAGAACAAAGACCCTAATCCAAATGGAGTCTGAACAGTCCGTCTTAGCTTCAACTTCCGGGTAGAAGCACCCCGCACTTGCACCCCACCAACCCAGAAGAAGAGGATTTCTGTCCATTTGCCACGGCCCCTGGCGCAAGATCCATTCAGCTTCAGCTCTCGAAGGACAGATGAACAAGAATAAGTCATCTGCCATCTTCTTCACCCCAACTCCCCACACCCCCCTCCACGTTCTAGTCGCCCATGATTCCACCTCTCTAGCTTCCACTCCCATTTGAATTTCCCCACCAAACACTTCCACAGGAAGTCCCTCCTCGCTTCTACTGCTTGACTTTCTGTGATCACCATCACCTATTTTCCCACTTTCTCACCTCCGAAGTGCAAAAATCCGGCCAAGCACCAGCCACCGCCACCTTACTGACACTGTTAGATACATTAGATCTGGTCCTCGCATCAACCCCCCCTTTCCGAGACCAATTTCTTGCTTCCCATCTCCATTTCCCACCCGGTGGGAACCTGGAATAAGATCTACGATACACCGCACTGATTTTATGCCTTTAAGATTTTCCTACCATTGTCGAAGACTGACCATCTACATTTTCTTTTGCTTCAGTTGGACTTCTCACAATGTCTTTAGGTACAATAGATGATCCTAGGGTATGTATTGGGACTTGGTTGAAAGATGGATGATGAATGTTTGTATAGGTTTACTGCTTTCATTCATCAATAAGGGAATTGGAGCATTTTTATTTTATAGCTGATAAAAAATAAATTTTTTATTTTATAATAGAAGGAAATAGAAAGACTATCTTTTGAAGATAAGACACATGCAGGGTTGTCTGCTGCTTGAAATTGTTGATCCAATATCTTAAAAGTTAGAAGCTCAACCAAGGCACAAGGGTTCCTAGACCCTGTGGTTCAAGGAGCATGGCAAGGTGAACATCTGAACACCGTGAGATACCACTTTGGAAAAAAAGTCAGAAAAAAATAGTATATGCAAACCTAAATTGTAGTGGAATGGCTGAAGAACAATAACCACATCTCTTGACAATATCTATAGGCACATTATGAGGGAAGTGTGAGTGACTTACCGTGCTGAATATGAAACTATTTTCATTCCAAATGGCTTGTAAATCTCAACCTTAAATTGCTATCACTATGCTTTTATGTTCCTTTATTTTACTAATATGATTAAGGGCCAATCTTCTAACTTGTTTCAATTTCCTTGTTCTGCTGTGGCCTTTCAGTTGCTAATATCCATGCTTGATATATGCAGGCTGACATCTTTCGAGAAGAGAAGAATATTATAGATCTGTATGTTATGCTTCTAAGATTTTCAAGGTTAGAAAAAAGAAATAGACATCATATATATATTTTTTTCTCTTTTCACTAGATTTATGATTTCTGATAGACCTGTTAAGCTTACAATCTTCTAAAATTTGAGATGGGATGAACAGACCTAATAGTTGGGTCATTTAACATTCTACCAATCCAATCTAGTCATCCTAACATCTTTTTATTTGCTCCAGTTTGATCACTGAAACTATACCACGCCATAAAGATTTTAAGGTGTCTCTACAAAATGAAAGGCTTTATTTTAAGAAGGTAATCCTTCCATCTTTATTGCTTCTATATTAGAAAAAAATTCTTGCTTGTCCGATTGGTTTTTTATTTCAGATAATTCTTCATGCAGAAATTAATGAATGCTTTGAGTGAACTGGAGGCATTGAAGCCAGTGGTTCAACAGAAGATTGAAGAATTGAACAGAAATCATATGAATCAAGTGGATAGGTTTGACCACAATGATATTTCTGATTCTTCAGTTGAATGGCCTCCTGTTAGGAAGAAAATTCCAACAAATTATGGAACCAGAAAGGTATAAGTAGAGCTTCGTTGTTCCATTCGGAGCTTTTTATTTTGTTTTAAATTTTTAGCTCTTTTAAGAATTTTGACCACAAGAGACCCAATATTTAACACCAAAGATAGTTCATGATTGCACTTTGTAGTTATGGTCATGATTATCCTATTCTATTTTGAATTTCTTTACAATGTTCTTTGTTCATTTGTCAGACACAAGGACTGGTTGGACAAGATTTCACATATCAGGCTTCAAGGACTCATCAATTTTCACATGGAAGGCCAGTGGATGATCAATTCCGCAAATTGTAAGTGTTCCATTTTACTAGCTAAGAGAATTCAGGTTAATCATTGCCCTACAAAAATATACCACAGATACACACAGAAATAGTTCTCAAGGCATCTCATAGGCAACAAGGTGCCCTTGGGGAACCTAGTCTGAGCTCTTTCATTTATATCAAAAAGATGCCTGTCTAGGTGACTAGGCACCTGCCTAGGTGATAAAAATCACAAGACGGTGCTTTATTATAATATTATTACTATGGCTGCATGTTATTAGTATTTGGTACGTCGTGTCATATATTATATATTACTTATTCTTTGTTTTAGTATATACTATTGAAATGTAAAAGATCCAAGGGTTTTAAGAAGAGAAAAATAAAGAATCAAATGATAAAAGGTCATTCTTTTTGTTTTACATTAAATAGAACACATTGACAATCATATCAAAGGTCCTATAAAGAAGAATGAGATCTGATGGGTAAGGTTATCTACCAAAGCCAAGGGGCTTTTGTTAATGGAAGGCAAGTTCTGGATGGGATATTGATGACTAATGAATTAATTGACTCTCAGTTAAGAAGTGGTGGTGAGGAGGTTCTATGCAAAGTAGATATGGAAAAGGCTTTTGATATTGTCAACTGGGAATTTCTTAGCTACATCGTTAAAAGATTGAATTTTGGGAGTAGATGGAAGAATTGGATGATGGTTTGTATGTCCACCCCCTCCTTCATTCTCATTAATGGATCCCCTTGTTGGAGGTTCAAAAGCTCTGAAGGCTTCCATCAAGGTGATCCACTACCCCTCGTTTTGTTCATTTGTGTGGTTCAAGTGATGAGTAAGATGATTACGGTAGAGCTATGGAAATTGGATGACGGTTTGTATGTCTACCCCCTCCTTTATTCTCATTAATGGGTCCCCTTGTTGGAGGTTCAAAAGCTCTAAAGGCCTCTGTCAAGGTGATCTGCTATCCCCCGTTATGTTCATTTGTGTGGTTGAGGCGTTGAGTAAGATGATGACTGCTAGAGCTATGGAAATTGGTGTTTTAAAAGGTTTTCGTGTGGGGGAAGACGTTGGGGAGATACCTTTACTGCAGTTCACAGATGATACGTGTTTTTTATGTCATGTATCTCTTGAGAATATTAAGGTTCTGAAATCAGTTCTCATTTGATTCAAAGTGTTTTCAGGTTTGAAGGTTAATATTTATAAAAGTGAGCTATTTTCTGTTGGGCAGGTTGCTAATATTGATGCTTTGGCTGATTCCTTGGGTTGTAGTGTGGGGACACTCCCTACGAAATACTTGGGTCTGCTGATTGGTTCTAATTGCAGATCGAGTATCATTTGGGATCCATTGCTTGACATATTTGAGAGAAAACTAGCCTCATGGAAAACGAGGTATCTTTCCAAAGGGGGAAAACTAGTTCTTATTAAAAGTACCCTAGCAGCCCTGCCTACTTATACCTCTATTTTTTCCCTATTCCTTCATGCACTGCCCATCCATTGGAGAAGAAGATGAGAGATTTCCTTTGGGAGGGGGGGGGGGTGTGGAAAGAGGACTTTAAGTTTCACTTGGTAGTTGGTATACTGGGATTTGGTTTGCAGATTAGTACAGAAGGAGGTTTGGAAATCGGAAATTAAAGTTCATCTCGCACTTCTTGGAAAATGATGCTGGCGATTTAGTGTGGAATCACCGAATCAGGTAGCTTGTGGAGAAAAGTAATCAAAGCTAAATTTGGTTCTATGGACATGGACTGGGAAGCGGAAAAAATATACAATCTTATGGCACCTCGGTTTGGAAAGGTATCAAGAAGGTGAAAATTGGAGATGGTAGTAGATCTAAATTCTGGATGGATAAGTGGTGTGGGCTGCAACCATTGATGGAGACTTGCTTGGCTTTATATCTGGCTGCACATTGGTTAGGGACTGTTACTCTATCTCAAATGGAGTTGTTAATTGGCTTCTGACCTTAAGAAGAAACCTGAAATACTGGGAGTTGGATCAACTGTTGGAATTGCTCCAATTAATTCAGTTTCACTCTCCTCAAACAGGGCGCCTAAGACTCTAGATGGTGATTTGGTGAGAATAGTGGTCAGTTTTTGGTAAAGCTCATTTACAGATCTCTGATTGGGGAACTTTCAAATGATTTTCCTGCTATCAGTATTTAGCATAATCCTTCTCTTTCAAAGGTTAAAGTTTTGGCCAGCTGCCTCGGAGAAATGCTTAACTTGTGACAAACTACTAAGAAGGGGGATGGTACTGGATCAGGCAGGTTGCTCTTTCTGTTCTACTGAGTTGGAAACAGCAAATGCAAACCATTTCTTCTTGCAGTATCTGTTTGAAATATGGTGTGGAGTGTGGTCCTTGAATATTTTGGTTGAGTGGGTTGCTTTCCTTTTTCTATTTTCTCCTCACTTGAAAGTTGGCATTTGAGAGGTCTGAGCAAGAGAGGTAAAGTCCTATGGGGACTGATTCCCTTAGCTGTTTTCTGGTGCATATGGAGAGAAAGGAATGCCTGTTTGTAAATATGGTTGGAACAATCTCAAAGGAATGTTTTGCTCTTGGGTGTCAACTCATAAGGAATTCAGGGGGCTAGATTACAACAGATTTTTTGACAAGGACAACTTCTTGTTAATATTTTGCTAACAAGCTGTATAGTTCTATCCTCAAATGGATATATAGCTCTATACTCAGATGGATGTACACGGCTCACAGTATTTTGATATTAATACAACACCTTACTTTCTCAAAAAAGGTATAAAATTATAGCCTTCTTTGGATGCTAATTTGACATGAGATTACTCTATTAAATATGTATTTTGTTATGTTGTGTTTGAAATATTGAGAGTTGAGACTGATAGATGTAAAATGCTGGTCTTTTCAATATGATGACTTGCCATGTTTTGAGAGATAACTTAATGTTATTATTAAAGAGCTTCACTGTTTTTTTTTTTTTTTCAATTCATGTGTATTCTAATTGGTATATAAAACTATGGAACCAACCTAGGATTCAGTTTTTGTTTTGTGAAATTCTATTGCCCAGGTTGTCATTTAGAATCACCCATGTGCCTTAACAACTATATAAAGGCTGCCCTTATAATACCAACTCAAATCATAGTTTCCTCCTTTAGTGGGGAAACATAATTTTATTCTTTATTAATTCATAGTTTATTAATAAATGACAGTCGAACAACTCAAATCACCCATGCTAGACAGACACAGATTTTGGTTTTTGATCAATAACTAAAGATTCATTAAAATAGAATATTATTACAAAGGAGAGGAGCTAAGGTTTCTTAACTCACCAAGACAGTCAAACATACACCCAAAAACAAAAATACAGTTATAACTGAGCCCAAAACACAGAAATCCTATTCACCCCTTGCCTCGCTAAGCCATCTACAAATGAATTTGCACTTCTCTTTACCCATTTGCACCGAACTTCCATGTCCCTGGTAAGCCATTTAAATTTCCTCTTCTCATTGCTGTAGTTCGAAAGCCTAGAGGTGTCTTCATTTAACCAATTCACTACAGTCTCAGTCTCCTTCTATGATCAGTTTATTGACATTCAGATCTTTAGCCCTTTGTACCCCTTCCAGAGCTGCTAGTATTTCTGCCCTCAGGGAGTCTCCCACTCCAATAGGGCCAGAGTACAAAGCTTTTTTTTTTTTTTTGATAAATAAATGAACTTTTATTAAGCCAGAGTTCAAAGCTATTATAAATCCTTTTTCATCCCTTAGTACTCCCCCAATTCTGGAGGGACCTGGATTGCCCATACTGCTGCCATCAAAGTTCAGTTTGATAAAACCAAGAGGTGGAGGGTTTCGATGGGAGACCATCCTAATTGAAGCTGAATTTGCAATTTCCTTCCACTTTCTTAGCAAATCATCCACTGAGAAATCTGCAAATATGTCCAGAGTCTACAGTCTCAGTCTCCTTCTATGATCAGTTTATTGACATTCAGATCTTTAGCCCTTTGTACCCCTTCCAGAGCTGCTAGTATTTCTGCCCTCAGGGAGTCTCCCACTCCAATAGGGCCAGAGTACAAAGCTATTATAAATCCTTTTTCATCCCTTAGTACTCCCCCAATTCTAGTGGGACCTGGATTGCCCATACTGCTGCCATCAAAGTTCAGTTTGATAAAACCAAGAGGTGGAGGGTTCCAATGGGAGACCATCCTAATTGAAGCTGAATTTGCAATTTCCTTCCACTTTCTTAGCAAATCATCCACTGAGAAATCTGCAAATATATCCAGAGTTTTCAGCCATTGAATTACCCTTACGTGAATCACCTGTGTAATTGCTTCCCTGCTTCTTTCCTTTTCTGAGAAATCCTTGAGTTTCTTTCCTCCCAAATAGTCTAACATATGGCTGCCCTAACACATCTCCACATAATCCTTGCCCTTTTTGTTGGCCAGTCGGAGGGAAGGAAAGTAAACAAGCTTTGCACATTCATTGGAGGATTCCATCTGCACCCAAATAAAGAAACACACCAGTCTCAAATATATTTTGCAAATTGATAGGCGATTAGTAAGTGAACACTAGACTCACCATCAGCTTTACAGAGAACACACCAGTGAGGAGATAAACATCTATTGGGCTTCTTTTTTTGAAGCAAATCACCTATGTTTTTTCTTTCTAGAAAGGTTTCCCAACAGAAACTCCCAACCTTTGCAGGAATGGGTTCACACCACACCTCTTTGATAGGGAAAGACAAACCAAAAGGAACACTTGATTGTGCTAGGGCTTTAAAAAAGGAAGAACAGTAAAGGAACTCGAAGGAGAGAGGGTCCAAATTCTACTATCTACCTTTGCTGGTTCCAGAAAACCCCCTCAAGGATGGATAACAGAGACAAGGTACTCTCCATTTCAGAGTCCCTAATATCTCTTCTCAAATCCAAGTTCCAACCAAAGCCAGAAGTCGAATTAGAAGGTACAAGGAAAGAGGATACTGGTCAGATTACTAATGGGTATCTCCCCCTCTCCCAAGGCCCTTTACAATATCACCTCAAATAAGAGTTTTTCCCCTTTTTGCAGGGAAAACATAATCCTATTCTTATTACTTCATACTTTATGAATAAATTACAAGTGATCAGGTGTTTATGCATATGAGCATTATTTAGTGCTTTCCTGACTTATTTTTCCCCACTTTTTTGTCATTTTCATATTGAATGTGGACAAAGATGGACTTCTTTTTTTATCAATAACAGTATTTCATTGGAATTAATTAGGAGGTATTACAATCAAATAGAGGGAGGTAGATTCATTGGACAAAGATGGACTTTAGCTACTAATTTTCTCTACCTTCTAGTTTTTACTTGAGATTATCACAATATCAAATAGGGCATGCTTGTTTTTTGGGAAAAATCCTGGGGGAAAGTGGTTCCCGTTGACCAACTTTACGTGTTCACTTTTCGGTAAGTTGTGGGCCCCACAGTAAAGTGCTTTTCCCTAGGTACTAATCCGGGTAAGTGATATCCATCTCTCAAAACATCCGGGTAAGTGGGTAACCTCCCCACCTAGTGGGAAATTTGACAAAACATAATGGAACAAATTTGTCTGTTCTAATATTGAGTTTTTATGGGTAAAAGGTCATTGCGAACTTACCTGGGAACCGAAAGAACATGGGAAGTGCTACCTGGGTAAGTTCACTTACCCAGGTAAATGACTGGATAGAAAAGAACGGGGCTATAAGGAAAAGTAAAGTTAAGAATTGGTTTAACCACTAATAATTTAAGTGCTGATATTCCAAAAAAGGACATTGGTCAAAGTAGTAGGAAATGATTCAAGTGCTAATAATTTAACAATGGATATGGCACTAATAGAACAGAATGGCGAAACATGGTAGCTGACCCCATATAGTTGGGAGATACGATTAAAGTCAGGAATTAGTTTTAAAAATATGGGGGAAAAAGCAAAAAAGAAAAAGTTGTGTAACCTATTTCATCTATATCCTATGACAAAAAAGAAAAGAAAAGAAAAAAAAATTGGGTTACATTTGCTTGGTTCTACTTGACATGGGTTGGTGAGAACCTGTATCCTTGTTTGATATGGTCATCCATATCAGAATGCTCATATAATATATGCCGAGGGAATTTCTGGAAAACATGTTTTAAGTTGGAAGAAAATGTCTACCAATCAAAATTTGGAGGAAAAACACCAGAGATACTAAAACATTATTAAGCATTAATTATAATGATGGCGCCCTGTACCCAAAAACTAAAAGTTAATCTGCAGTAAGTCTCAAACATCGACTTCTTTTATGTCAATTATCAACATGACCTCATATAATATGTATTAACAAACATAAGGGATTCAATGGTGATACTATTGCATTTAGTCATTGGTAAAGTCGTCTTATTGACTAAACAACAGGAAACTGCTTATATGCTGGAATCAAGTTTAGTTTAAAAAAAGATGCAGGAAGGGAAAAAAATAGAGCAAAGTAGACTCGTACCATGAAGTGGAGTAGGTTCTTTAAGATCAAGTGTGATTCTGTATGTGTGTGTGTGTGTATCTACTAGCATAATAACTTACTTTCTTTAAGCTGAATAAAAAAATATTAGAGTTTTATCATGAACTTTAAAGTGACTGAGCAGTGTTGCATGGATCTCCTAAATGGATGATGCATCTATGTCAGACATGCGTTAGGCTCCGATGCTCCATTGACTCTTGAGGGACATTTCTATTGGACATTTTTCTTCATCTATTGCTCATTTTAACACACATGAACAGTTTATGTGCACATTGAAAGCCATTTTTCCTACAAAATGTTATTAAGTAACAAAAATAATTCTTTAAAAACTTTTTCTATTAGTTTGTAATGTTAAAATTCAACAAAATATGCAGAATTTTAATAGTTTATACTTGTTTGTAGACATATCTTGAGTCCTTGTTTTTCTGTCTTGCCAAGCCAGACTCCCAGACACATTGGATTCTGATTTTGTGTCTATGTCCATGCAACACTTTATGAGCCTGTTTCTTAGATAAAAAAAACTTGATTACAAAAATTGTTGAAGTTAATTTTTCACAAGTAACTTTTTTGCTTTGCATTACAATGGAGGAATGGGTTGTCTTTAGGGTTTTCTTTTTCACTATCTTTTTTTAATCCCTAGTTTACTTGGCTGATTCTTGTAGGTCTTTAAGTTTTCCACGTCCGAAGGAGGAGACACTATCAAGGCATTCTTTTCTAGGTCCAAATGGGCTTCGTGGCCAGTGGCAGCCACCTAGTAGCGTTCGAGGGGTATTAGTTTTAATTAGTTTGTTTCTTTAATTCAATGTTCAAGGTACCATGTTGCTAACTTTCAACATGCGTTTGTAGGTTCAATATCCAAGCAATTTAGACTTGACTCCAATTGAAATCCCAAGGTTAGACTTAGTAATATCTATAAGTACTTAATATTCTATCTTCCTACATCTCAGTTTGACTCATTCAAAGTGCTAATCAATAAGAATTAACATTAGACATACATATTCTAAGCTTATTATATTTGTTGTATTGTACTACTGCGGAATTTATTTTATATTAGTTGTCTTTCCATTCTATTTCTTATGGTGTATCATTAACATCTTGGAGTTTTTGTTATGGATCCATGTTATTCCTGATGTTTTAATTGGGAAACAGCCTGCAGCATCCAGTGGAAGGTGGACCTATGGAACAAAAGAACAGTGATGATTCATCACTTGAAAGTTCCACTCTTGAATCAGTCCTTTCACTGAGTGGTGATAATCAGTTGCTTCACAATGAGGAACCTTGTTCGATGATTTCTTTGGATAAAGTGGAAGTTCCAGTTAATACAGATGTTGTCAGGCAACCTTCTCCTCCACCTATTCTTGCACAAGTACAAGATTTGATCCCTGTCACGTCTCCTCAAGTTACTGAGTCAGGACATGGGGTGGAGAACTCATTGAAAGATGATCTAGCTTGCCCCAAAGCTCCCCTTCAATTGCACATTGTGAGATTCTTAGTGATCCACCCCCTCTTTATTGAAGAGTTTTCCTACTTCAAACTTCTGTTGAATATTTTTCCTGCATAATTTATTTCTAGGCATAAGCTCTTTTGGTGATTAGTTTTTCTGATGTTGCTTCAATATGTTACAGTTGAGTATCCTGATGATAGAGGTAACAGATGGTTGTATATGCTATTAACTTCTGTTTCTCCTGGCAGTCAACTGCAATGATGGAAAACTTCATGAGATTAGCCAAGTCAAATACCAAAAAGAACTTAGAAACGTGTGGTGTTCTTGCAGGTTCACTTGTAAGTTCTATATTTATTTATTTATTTTGCATTGTTGAATTTGCTCAGATGGAGCCCTGTTTGACATCAATATCTCTTGCAGAAAAACAGAAAATTCTATGTGACTGCTCTCATAATCCCAAAGCAGGAGTCAACATCAGATTCGGTAATATTTTGTTATTATATGTTTCTTTAGACCACTCCATGCTTAAATTGAATTATGCTCTGTTAAAACATGCTTTCTGTTCAGTGTCAGACCACAAATGAAGAAGAGATATTTGATGTTCAGGACAAGCAGTCCCTGTTTCCTTTGGGTTGGATTCATGTGAGTATCTTATGGCTATTAAAATCCTTGACCTTATTATTGTTAGGTTAGAAAGGAAATAAAATTCAGTGCAATTGAATCCAAGATCATACTTTAATTGTTTAAAACGATAATGTCTTGTAGCTTCTTTTTCATCTGATAATAAATCTAATCAGTCATTATGGTCTTGCAGTGACATTTTCTTGAGGATTGATAGAATACTCAATACTGTTATGATGTACTAGTAACTTGGAAAATAAATCATCATCAAGGCATTTCATCAACATTACTCTAGTCATTTCTTGGCCATGGCACATAATTATCGCCATTTAGTTTGACATAGGCCATCTGTACTGTAAAGAGAATCTAAATTCATATTTCATAACCAATCCAGGCTTGATTTCTCCACTGTTTGATGCTATTATATCAACTGAAATATGATCTCAGATATGATAATATATGCTATTATCATATTTCATATGATAAAATGGAGACTACCTCTAGGATCCACTAGGACAACTACCTTACTATGAGTATCAAAAATATGAAAAGTAACCTAACATGTGGAGCAATGAGTTCATATAATCATGACACTTTCTTGTGGCCTCTAAAAAACCAATACATGCTATAAGTCAAAGGATAAACCAAATCATCTAGTGAGTGCATGCTTGGGTGATTTGGTTTTCATGAGTTCACATAGTTGCAACAATTTCTTGCGACCATCCGATAAAACACAAACATGCTGAAAAAAAAAACCAAATAACCCAGCGAAGGTATGTCTGCTATTGTTACACAAAATGATACAGGAACACTGCGCTTTCATATAAAATAGAGACTACCTCTATGATATACTACCTAACAATGACAATCACGTAATACCAAGGTAGCTTAACATGTAGTGTGATGCCTAGGCGCTAAGGTGCTCATGGAGGGTGGCTTCACTTAGTTGCCAAGATACATGATGTGATACTTTTGGATATTTTTATATTCTTAACTTTATGAGATCATAATAATAAAATAGACATTGTTAAACTAAATTATTCGGTTTGAGTTAAAATACTAGTTTCTTTTTATTATTTTCTCATTTGTTAGGGTTCGATCAAGATGTATACTGTCTTGAACCCATGAAGGTTTCAAAACCTGAACTAATAAGCAAGGAAGAACTCAACATTTTGTCCAAACAACACATATTGATTGGACAAAAATAGAGGCTCAGCCCCTTTATTTTTTGAAATTTCTTTTCTTTCTTCCATTTTTTTTAGGAATATGTTGATTTTCCATGTTTTAAATGAAGATTATACATTTTTTTATTCATTCTTTCTATTCTAAAAAGAGATATTTGTAGTTATATTTCCTGCCCTTTATTGTTTTTTTCCTCAATTTAATCTTTATAATATTGGTCAAACTTTCATTTATTGAAATAAAAATAAAAAAAAGTGTGCATTTTATTGCTAAGTAATATGAACATGGAGGGGAACTGGAATGACTACAAGAGTGGTTCATGGGAGGGGAATTTAGGGAAACTACTACGCTAAGAGAAATAAGATATATAAATTTGTCAGTGTTTGTATATTTACACATGAATTCATTTATGCATGTGTTTTTTATTTTGTATATTTTGGTAATATGTGTATATGCAAGTAGCCAAGTATTAATAGTGAGTATGCATTTGTATGTATTTGCCTGTTCACCTATACATGTGTGTCTGTGTGAGGGAGGGAGGGAATGTTATTTAACTAAGAGCTCGCCCTTCTCCAATAGCCAGGGGTTATCTTCCTCTTTCTTCATTAGTAAGGCTCTTCTTTATGTTAATAATTAAAAAACTATCTACTTTTTACAGGTTTAGTATGACTTGTATTGGGAGCTTTTATTTATTTATTCATTCATGTACCAAGTGAATCTTCTGGTGTTTATTGCTACTCTGAGTGACTGCAATAATAGGACTTTCAACTACTGCGAAAATGTTGTATTCTTCCAATTCAGCTTTCCTTTGGTACTTCTTAGGCAGTCCCATAATAATAGATGACTGAATATTCTCTGCCTTATAAACCCAAATGGATAGTTTTGGACACTTGGATGCCTTGGAGTTCTTGTCATTTAAAAAATTTGCTCCAAAAATGACAAAGTAGAAAGGTTGTTGATGTTTGATTTTGAAAAATATGATTTCAATTTTGATGAGGTAATAACGGGAAAGGTAGGTCAGTCTTCAAAACCCATAGACTTGAACCATTGTAAACCTGAAAATATCTATCACAATCAACACCTGTTAAGAAACAACTTGAACACTTAATTTCTGGGTAATAAACAACTTGAACACTGATGGTTGCAATATGCCAATCAAATCCAATTTACCTCACACCTAATATCAACAAATAGTGTTCGGACAATTACAATAGTGAGTTTCTATTTTCTAAGTGGACTATGCTGCATATTATGCTACATTTTCCGAAAAAGTAACAATCTAGTAAGTCAACCATTTCTATTATTTGCTTTTCTGAGTTCTAAGCTTAGATAGAGGGAAAACGAAACTTATAAGGGAGATTTTGTCTATTGTAAGATGAATTAATTGGATCCACATCTTTACATGCTTTTGCAGTTACACATAGATTCTTTTAGAAGGATAAAGTTTCCAGTACTCCATGAATTATTTAGGTGATGCTTTGTATGGTTTTCCTATTTCTTCTTGCTTATTTGACATACATTAGATATAAAATGCATAATGAATTTAATCTTTTCTTATAGACTGTCTCTTGGTAATAATAGCAAACTTTTTGATTTAGTTACACAAACTCCTATAATTGTACAATGATTGAATTCAAAAGAAATGGAATTTTTTGTTGTAAATTCCAATTTTGGAGATGTGACCATATCCATGTTTTTCATATTGTGGAGTCAAGAATCACAGGCATGCATTGGATTTTGACTCCTTTGCCAGTGGTAGCTTGTCTTACAACTATAGCCCCAAACCTGGATAAAGTAGGGTTATATCAGCCTATCAGGTTGACAGTCATGAAAGCCTTAGCCAATCCAATCTTAATGCAAACATTGAATCATTTTAACACCCAAATAGTTGGACTAAGACAGAGTGGAGTGGAGAGTTGCAAAATAAAGGTAGAGAAATAAATCCATATTAAAAGTAATGAGTGTGCAAACGGCTTTGTTTAACTTTACCTATGAAAAAAAGGTGGCTTTATGTTCCTTCAAGTTTCTTGTTGCTCCCCACTCGTGCCTTAAGGACCTTTACGATTTCTGGTGCATCTGCAGTGTTGTTTGATCCTACTCATGTTTCTACTATTTCATGACATTGACTTTCTTATTTTTCAATTTATAACCGTCATCCTAAATGATCAAATATTTTTATTTTCTTATCAATGACCAGACACATCCTACACAGTCTTGTTTTATGTCATCAATTGACCTTCACACTCATTACTCGTATCAGGTGAACACCTCTTCCTGTTCCCCAACAAGGACATTGATTTTAATGCATTCGAATATTTACCTAACTGTGTTTCGTAATTACTATAAGTTTCCTTGCTTTTCCTTCTTACACTTTACAGATTATGTTACCAGAAGCTATTGCAATTGTCATGGCTCCGAGAGATGGTTCAAGGCAAGAATGATTTACCTGTTGTTTAATAAAAGGAATATGTTGTCTGTCTGTAATTTTGACTCTTTTAACTGCTAGTTTCATAACACGTGCAGAACTCATGGTATCTTCCGGCTGACAACCCCGGGTGGCATGTCAGTCATAAGACAATGCCAACAGCGTGGCTTCCATCCACATGAGCAGCCTCCAGATGGTGGGCCCATTTATGAGCATTGTACAGACGTATATATGAACCCCAATCTTAAGTTTGACGTCATTGATCTCCGGTAATCACAATTCCAACATGTGTACAAGTAGTGATCCACCCACCATTTTAAATTTAACTGTTCATGTTTTTGTTGAGTTTCCTATTAATCAGCCATTGGACATGAGCAGACTAGCTGTATTGTCCATGTATCTTTAAGAATTTGTTAGCTATATCTGCAACTGTCCAATATTGCACACCACAGTTTCTTTCAAAGGATTCACCACAAGCCAATTCATAAGAGCAATTTGATTCATGGTCCTTTTCTTTGGTATTTAATTCCTGGTCCTTTCTCATTCGCCTTGCTTATCCTTTTCTATATTATATCGACACTCGTGTACAATATGCATTACTCTGTCCTTTATCAGTTATGTAGACTGTAGTGTAATTTCTCATTCAAGTTCATTAGCGAGCAAGATCTTTGTATGAGACCTGGATCTTATGAACCCATTTTTCATTTTCCTTTTCCTATCGACTGACTCCAACTATCAAATGGTGGACCACTATGCTTGAGGAGACTAGCAATCGGTAAATTGAGCAGTAAGATGTGACAGGTTGCTAACTTTTTTGGGTTATGGGCCTTACGGCATGTTCAAGAGATGGCCTACAACTTTGAATTGTCAGTGCATGCCATATCGTGAGGGACATCACTCAATTTCTTTTTACTGAGTTGTGTATGTAATTGTTCCCCAGAAAAACATGGCGGGTAAAATTGTCACGTTATGCATTTTGAACATTTGTTTGAAAGATGAGGAGTCCGGGCCTCCTACTAGCAAACTAACAAACAATGCTAGGAATACCACTGACACCAGTTTTGCGTCACCTATCTTCAACCCATGTGAATTTAATAAAAATAATGCATCCTAGTGCAGTTCCTATTTTCTATTGTGTTGAAGAGAAGGTGGCAGGCAGTGGCGCAAAATGACGATGTACCTACCTAGCGTTGTTTTGTTACTAGCAGAACCGAACTCAGACGAGAGTTGCCTGAACTCTGATAACACAAAAGATGTCTCCGGAAAGAAAGAGTGAGGTTTGAGAACAAAGTTACCAACTTTCCAAAAAGCAGAGGGGAAAACGATCTAACCCTTCAACCGAATCTGGAAGGGGATGGCAACTTTGTTGGATGATTGACACATGGATTGATAGAGCATTTCATGAAAATAGGGTAGGCCATAGGCCTCTACTTTTCTAAAACTAGAAAAGAAAGAATTTACCCAACTAATGGGTGGCTCAGTTGTTTATAAAAAAAAAAAGGAAAAAAGAAAAAAGAGGCTTGACATATTTATTGTAAATGCTTGAAAAGGTGGTTAATGTCAGGCTAAGACTCGACCTTTCCTCTCCTGATCTCCTCGTTCCTGAGGTGAATCTGAGAAGCAAACAAGAAAGCTTAGCCCGCAAATAATCGAAGTAGACTTTCTAGGCTTCACCGTATGGCTTCTTAACTCTTGGTTGAGTGGAAGAATACGTGTTGTCAGTTTTGACCATGAATGCTCTGTCATTTTCTACTTTACCACAACACCTCAGTATTGGACATGTCCATCAGATTGTCATGGAGTCGATGTTATCCTGTTTTACCAAAGAGAGTGAAAAGAGTATACGGCAAGAGCCCAATCGATTGGTCATGGAGACAGCCATTGCCTGTGTAAGCTATGTACCCTGCTGAATAGCGTACTTGTTCTGGATCAAATTGAGGGGAGCCCGAGCAGGAGCCTTGGAGATGGGTGTCGGTATTGATGTGGGTAAAGCTGACATTAGTTCAACTCCTAATTCCTAAATCTCTAGCACTCTTCTTTATAGCTTCAGTCATGCTAGTCACTAACAGTAAAAATGCCAACAGCTTGTCGACTAGCAATTAGATATGTTGTATAAATACCAGTTGTTCAGCATGAATGTTTTTGATTTCGTGTTTTGAAAAATGCTTCACCACAAGTATTTGATGGACCAACAAAACACTCTGCTTATTCATATATTAAAAAAATCCTGTTGCATATTTTAATTTTTATTATCTATTGATTCTATTCTATAATACAAATACTTTGCTTTGATTTCTGTGCAGGTAATAAAAGTTAAATTTTACTAGCATGGTATATAAAGTTTAATACTTATTTGTACTATTGAATATACTGTACACAATAAGTTTCCTATAGAACTTGACCTCCTTAGATTAGGGGTGCTTTAAAGTTCCAATAGATTAGACAAACCCACATTTAAAAGGATTTGGTTCATGGTCATAGTATGAATAAGAAAATAAGAAAAGTGAACTAATATACGTTCAATCCAATTTTTTATAATACACTGTACATTCATTAATATTGGTTGCATGTTAAATCCAAATCTCAACCAATCATATTAAAGTCTACTTATTTTTCATTTGTTCATTTGCAAGGTACCAGCCAGTGGGTTGGTAAAGTCTCTTGTTGGTCATCGCGGAGACTTGAGATTGAATCCCGCTTGCACCTGGGTTGGGAGATGGGTTACCCCATTGTGTATCCCTTCCAAAGAAATAAAAAAAAAGGTATACTTATCTCACAAAGTTCATTTGTTCATCACATCAACCAATCATATCTTAGTGCATGGTGCATTAGATGTTCCATAGATTTTGGGGGTGTTTGGCAACTCCTTTCGTGCAAGGTTCAAAATATCGGTACGCCCGATACATCGGTATGAGCGTATCGGGCGAATCGATACTCCTTTTGGTGGTTTTTTTTTTTTCACCAACTGGTTCAAAGGAGCCGGTTTAGGTCTTCGTCACATCTTTAACCGGTCAGACCACCAATACACCCATTGTAGGGGCGTATAAGTGGGATGCCGAAACAATATGTATCGGCCGATACGGGCCGATATATGTCAATACTTTTAACATTGCTTTCCTGTGGTTTTTTAGATTTTTCAAAGCTTAAAAGATCAAAGTTTGGTATTTCTCCGTTTCACAATAAAAGACAGGAAATTGGAAAGACTTCTACCCTAAAAAACTCATGAAACCCCAAAATGGCCAAAAATCTAGATAGCTTCAAATGAAAGCTTCCTACCTGAAATCTTTCATTTAATAGCTTGATGGACCATGATAAGCTAGGATATTTACCAAACGGCACCTTTATCTATTATCATTATATTGAATAATATCAAACAGACCACCACGGTACTAAACATTATTTTGAAACAGAACATGTTTCTGAACTTTTTTATTTTTTTTATTTTTAAAGAGAAAAAAGATTACACAACCAAGAACACGTTGTATATGATTTTCCTTTTGAAAGAATCAACTGTTTTCCCAAACAAACTCTGAGGCTCATTTTTTTTTTTTTTTTTAAATCACAACAAAGAAAACATGGTCATTTCCTAGCCCAAGGTCAATTCTCAGTTTCTTACGTGTAACGTCCCCTTCAAAGAACCGTCTCCTTTGTCTTTGATCGCCTTGTAAGGAACCAGAGGGTCCCACATTTGTCCCCGGCACAACTTTGCTTATTACAGCCTACAACCTCTTATCCTTACTAAAGGCCTAAACCCTAAAGGGCATCTTAACAAGAAGTCACCAGACATGGATGGAACCATTCGCAGAAACCACTTCTCATTCATATTTCATAGCCTCACGATGTTTACTTTGTAGCCATCCTACCTTTATGATTTGGGTTCCACCAGGACCACTCTACGAGGCTATCACTGGAACATCTACACCTTTTCATCATGCTTTGGTGATTAAGGTTTCATCATCTTGATTCTACCGCTGTCAATGGATCGGATCTACCCAATAGAATCGAACCGACCAAACTGATAATGTCGACTTTGGTTCTTGCCATTCGAACCAATTATATAGTTAATATATATAAAGGTCTGCTGTTTTTTATATTTTATATCTAAAAGGATAATTTTATATTATAATTTCGGTTAAAAACACTTATTTTTATCAATATATAAACAGTTCATCATTTATTTTTATTATTATTAAAATTATATAATGAAAAGTGAAGTTTTAAGTTGTTATATTATCATGAATTCCCATAGCACATCTCAACTGTGTATTTAGAATGATATGTACGAGAGATATTCCCCATGCACACTGAGATGTGCATGTGGAACACCCATGTGGGGCGCTGATGTGAACTCTATTATCATAGGTTATATATGTCAAGTATAATCGGATCTAATCAAATTAGACCTGATTAGTCCAATTAATAATTGGTTCGATTCTGTTCTAATTTCTAAACCAGACCTGACTCATTGACAGCTCTATTTGATTCTGCCAGGGCCCAGGGGTGAGGAGTAGGTCCTCCCTCTCCACCAATGCCAAGGAACAAACTTTTCCAGCAGGGACTGTGACAGGACACTTGTTTAGGAATCTCTATTCTCTACTGGCCCAGGTGGACTAGAGTCCTTGATCAGTTGATCCCAAGATTGGTTAATTGGGTATGTCAGTGGTTGCTCACATGGCAAGTAGGGGAAGATGGCTTATCAAACCAAAAAAGTACATGGGGTCCAGTGGTCCATCACCCTCCATGGGCCCTACCTTCCATACCACAAAATGGGCTACCAACCAACCCATACAAATGGAGCCTGCACTACTTTTAAGTTTTATCTCCTTCACATCAAAAGGTTCAGATTTTCCAGCCAGCCAATCTGTTTTTATGGGCTTTAGCCTTGTACAAATCTATATATCTCATCTAATTTGGCCCATTGCTTAGGCGGTGCATGTCCCCCAGAGTTTGTTGGCCTTGTCTTAGCATTTTCTATAAGTTTCATCACCTTTCTGATGGATCATAACCGTATAAGGATCGTGTGTCGGTGTTGCTGTTTCCCAAAAATTCACAGTTCAACCTCACGCCCTCTGACAACCGTCAGATTAGGATAACTGGTCGACCCCACAAGTAAGCTGTCCGGAATCTAAAACTCTGACCTTTGGGAGGAAACATTCGGTAATCGGTACTGTCACAAGACAAAATACATAGTCTTCCTCATCTTTAGCACAAATTTGATATCTCCACCTTCTTTTCCTTACATTACTTCATGAATGGAACCCCTCTGGCTCTGGATATCTCCATGTTAATTGTTAAATTCAATCTTTCTGAATACATGGAAGAGAAGATGGAGCACATGTCTGCCAAACTAGCTGGGGCCAAGCAACCCAATATCTTATGCTTCGGCTAAAAATGCATTGAACCAAATAACCAAACTATTCTTTCATCAGGCTACCCAATTCCTTTACCATATGGAGTAAACATTGGTGTGGGACCCATAACAGAAGGTATTGATGATGCCACTTGTAATGTCATCCATCTGATTTGCATCTCCAAGGCTGCTGGTTTCATGGGTTTCCTATATCTTTTAATTGTGTCTTAGATCACTTATGTAATCTCTAAACAAGGGAAGTTGTGATGTTGTGTCCCCAAAATTTGTATAGCCCATTGGCCATATTTGGAGTTGGAATAAGTTCCGAAAAACGTCACTAGAAATTAACATTTTAAATATTAATATAAATAAGGGGTTTTTATTGTTCAGTCCATCCTAATAAATCTTAACTCCACCATACAGTTGGGTAGGTGCTAGCTCATTATTAAAAATTTTGAATTATTGTAGGTCTGTAATGAAATTTAAAATTCTGAGGTGAAATGCAGTATAAGTTTTACTATAAATAATCAGAATATATCACATGTAAATAAAAAAAAAAGGGCCATTATCATTATCATCATCTAAGCTTTATCCCAACTATATGGGATAGGCTGCATGAATCCTATTCCGCCATTCCGTTCTGTTGCCATATGCATGGTCAAATTATGGGCGCTATTTCATCCTGTTTCGCCTTTTTTTCCTTTTTTTATGACTCAAAACTGTGGCTGTGGCTGATAAAATATAATGAGTTCATTTGCAATCAATCTCCTTGCTGTACATTCAAGGCTTCAACTCATTGTAAGATCATCCATTTCTGTTTCAAGTGTTTAAATTTTGAACTTTTAATTTCCTTTCTTTTCTTTTTCAAATGCCAGCAAACTAAGAAAACTTGTAAAATATGTATTGACCTGAAAAATCAGAGTCCAGATGAACCCCCTTGGGGATGTCTTGAGAGGAAAATAACCTATGAAACACTCTTGATGTTTAATATCTCAATTGCTTTGTTAGTGTTTATGTAAATTATACTCAAGCTAGAGTTTAGAGCTTAGATACAGCGGATTAATGTTGGGTTACTCTTAATTGAATAAACTATTAATACCAGTTGCAGATTATAATATGCAGACAACTGCAGGTGTGCACCATGTTGACCTTTTAATCTGTGCCGTCCAATGGATGTAATCCACTCCTAAAACAGCCATAAAATGTTGGATTTACTCATGTATTTGATAATGAAAAATAGTCCAGATTGAACAGCGTAAATATCATCTAGTTACAGATAATTTTATTATTACCAAAAAAGTTTCAGATGATTCATTTTAACAAGTTATTTAATAATTAATATTGTTTATTTGATGGGTTTGGACTAATAAGCAGAATGCCACATGTGAGATGGTGGGTAGAGTAAAACTTCGGCTATCTGCTCTTAAAGTTGTCAAAAGTTTATTAATTATTTCTTAATGAATTTGATTTGATTTGATTATGGAAATAAACCATCTCTGACTGTAAAGTTCATTATTTACTATTTAGTTACTTATTCCTTTAGCCCCATAACTCCCATCAGAGATCTTCCACGATAACGTCACCGTCCTCTCTCTCTCTCTCTCTCTCTCGTGGCTGCTCGTCTCCTACAAATTCTTTCTGGGGTTTTCATTTGTTACACGCTCTCTGCAACTATAAGAACACGCCTCTCTGCAGAAGCTTCAAAAGAGAGAGAGTTCTGGTAGCCTTTCGGTGGTTACTTCAGTTACTTTTTTCTTCTTCTTTTCCTTTTGGAAATCTGAAATTTCCTATTAACCCATTTGCAGAGAGGACAGAGGAGGGGAGCTTCGACTTCGAGCATTGGAATCACTGAGACGACACAGCTTTAACTCTTATCCTTTTCAGTTTTTCAGTCCCCTTCTATCCCAAATTTCAAACACTTCCGTAGGCTTTTTGACTCTTCAAGTCCAAGGTGTCCCGTTTATCCACAAAGCTTTTAATGCCGGTCGTCACTCGCGTTTGAATCTTGGCGGTTTTCTGGGTCGTTCAAACATGTCACAGTTCACGATTTTCCCGTTCTTGGTTTCGAAAATATTATTCAAAATCTCAGTCTTGTAGCGCTTTCTGTAATTAATCCTTTTCTGGGGTTGTAGGATTTTTTTTTTTTTTTTTTTTTTGTTTCTGTTCGAAAGCTGTTTTTGGAGAAATGGCGGTCGATCTCTGCTCGGAGAGCTCTAATCTGGGAATGAGTCCGAGAATCTCGTTTTCTCATGACCTCCGCCATGCAGACGTTGTGCCGGTCGAACAGCACAACTACCGCTCGGATTCTTCTCTCCTGGATTTCGATTTCTGCCTCAACGAAAGCTTCCAACAAGAATCATCTTCTGCTGATGAGCTCTTTTGCGATGGGAAAATTCTTCCAACTGAAATTAGGAAGAAAATTGATCCTCCGAGACAGACCCACAAATACAAGTCTCCTCATCACCCTCCTCTACCAACAACAACGCCATCTCCTGAACCTGCTACTTCTAAAACTGAAAATTCCAGGAAAGAGAACTTGAAGGAAATCATAGAGGAAAGCTCAGAAGGAGACGAAAAAGCACCTTCAGTTTCGAAGTCGTTCTGGCGATTCAAGCGAAGCAGTAGTCTTAATTGCGGTAGTGGGCACAAACTCAGTTTAATTTGTTCTTTACCGCTTCTATCCAGGAGCAATTCAACAGGTTCATCACCGGTTCCCAAACGGCCACCATTTTTGAAGGACAATCACAAGAATCCACAGAAGCCCCCAACAATCACACCCATAAAGTTTTCTGCTTCTTCCTCTTCTTCTTCTGTTCCTTCTTATCTGTCTTCGTCACAGAAGCGTCCGTTGAAGAAAAATTATGGATCTTACAGCAATGGGGTTCGTATTAATCCTGTTCTGAACGTTCCACCTCCATATATTCCAAAAGGAACCGCTAACTTATTCGGTTTTGGTTCACTGTTCTGCAACTCAAAGGATAAGAACAAGAAGAAATGATTCACCGTCGATGGCTTCTCTCTCCGGTAGTCCAGTCACAGCTTTTATGTATTCAATTTAACACCAACATGGGTCCATGCATTACTATGTGCTCAATGAAATTAAGAGAGGAACAATTAAGTTTGTAAGAATCATTGTGGACATTTATCATGAATCTGTGAATTTCTATAAACTCTAAAGTGAGGCTGAAGAAGAAGAAGAGATGGTTGAGGGATAGATGATCTTGGAAAGCTCAGTGTATATCAACATGTCAGAGGTTTAGGAGACAAAACAGCAGGTACCCTTCTTGCATGGCTGTCCAATTATTTTGTTTCCTTTTTCTCTTCTGAAAAAAATTACATGATTTGGCTTCCTCTTTCACTCTTTGTTTATATATAGATACTTTTGATTGATCATTGATTTGGGTTTCTCATTAGTCATTCCTGTGTTTTCTTCCCTTGAAAGCAATTCTGTGCTTTTCTTTGGTTTCTTATTTTTCTGTTTGTCTCTTAAGATTAAGACAAAAGGGTTGTTCTTAAGGAGTGGTTTTACTTTTAGATTATCATTAAAGAAGTAAAGAACCCTCTGATTTGTTAATCCTGACTTGGGTGACTGATAGACTAGTACTTGTTTGCTTTTTGTATTTGCTTAGTTTATCCAAGTAAGGACTGATTATGAATTGGATTTAGCAAATTAGGTGGCCAAACAGGACAGTTTTAATTAAAAAAAAATGAAGAAGCAAGAAGATCAGAAATCAGAATAGAAAAATGAAAAGCGGCGAATTGCAAAGAGTGCAGGTTCAACCAAACCAAACTGTAAGCCCAGAAAATTTGGGTAAATTGAATAAAAACCGATCTAGTCTCGACTCTCGATGGAATAACTTCGTTCTTTAATTTCTTTCTTCTGTTTTCTTTCGTTTGAAAACGAACCGTTGCTTCTTTCTTTAATTTATTAAGAATCGTTAACCCGCAATTCCTACTTGCTTCTGAATTGAGTGCACGTTTTGACCAAATGTGAAGTGAATTTCACGATACGCACATGGATTAGACATGGAAAAGTGAGAATATACGCAGTATAGTAAAGGTCTTAATTACTACTTTCCTACTTTCTGGAGGGTTGGTTCATTTTGGACCCATAAACCGGTCTGGCCTAAACTGCTATTTGAGCAAGTCAAAATGGTTTACATCCGGTCTAAATTTAATCAAACTTTACATTAGGACGTATTTCTGTCATTAATGTGGAAGGCCCCCTTTTTCCAAACTCTGCTGTTGACAAAATAGAGAGAGAGAGAGAGAGAGAGAGAGAGGCTGTAAGACTGAAGAGGGTGACGGTCAAAACCGAGTTTCAGGACATTTAAGGTATATACAAGGACTAGGGTGTCCTTTGCATCGGCGCGCTTGGCATGCCCACATGGGGTAGGACCCATCAGTTGTTGGGTCACCCCTGACAGTATGCCCACAAGCCAAGAACTGGTCTCATTACACTGCAAATCCGTAACCAAGTCTCATGAAACCATTTACAGTTTCTGATCAATGTTCATGGGTAACTTTCTGTTTTCACAGTACCCAAATCTCCAACACCAGGACTCCTCAAAAATGATGGGTTCTAGTATTCAAAGGCTGCTTTTGTTTCCTTCCTTCTTGGTGGGAAACTGGGTGTTGGGAAATAACTAATCTTTTTCCATTAGATCAATTAAGGAGGCTCACTCAGGCTTTCCAGTTTTAAGAAGACCCAAGTTCTGGGATTGCAGAGTTTTGGCCTAAAGTTAAGCCATCAATAAAGGGTGGAGAGTGCAGAGAGGAATTAGTAGACTTTTTTACAGCCCAGAAACAAATTGCCAAGTAGAAGAAGATATGTGGGTTGTTAAGTGAAGCCCACTGGACTACTCAAATTGCGGATCCACCCTTTATATTAATGATAGTGTCACGGGTATTTAAGCTTATGAGCTATTGATTAAGAAGAAGTCCTGCTTCTATATTTTAGAGAAAAAGCAAGTGACAGAGGAATCTTCCATGTGATTGATCAGGTGGAGCCCTGTAGGGTTCCACACATTCCTCTTAATAAGCCATCTTTTATTGGGTGTCTTTATGTTGAATTTTTGATGATTGAGCGAATAAAGTTAATTGGAGAAAGCTCCAACACAAGATGGGGCATAGAGCTGTCATGGACTTGAGAAGTAGTAGCTTCAAGATAGGATGGGGTATGGCGCTGCCCACTCTCTCTCTCTCTCATCATTAGAATGTTAATGAAAAAAATGGAAACGAATTAACCCTTTCACATGTCTACATAGCAAACTCCAAGCTAATACAAAGTTGAGATGAGTCAATTATAACCTCTAAAAACTAAGGCTCAGTTTGGAAGGAGTATAAATGCAAATTTGTAGAGTATAAAACCTTGTATTTTGTATTATTTTGTATGTATTTGCACTCTACAAATTTGTTTTTGTACTCCTTCCAAACTGAGCCTAAGGGTATATTTGCTGATGTGGTAGTTGTTTTTGTTTATAAAAACAAAGCCAAACATATTAATGAACACCCCTTAAATGGCACTCCAGATCGCCTACACTCACCTTCACTAAGTGCCCATTTGGGAGGGTTTTTTCTACAGTGGCTTCCAGTATTGCAAGGTAAGCCCCACCTAGAAAGTTAGTAAGCTGTGTTTGGTAAAAAGCTCGAAAAGCCTTAAAAAAAAACCCTATTGTTGTTGAGCTGAGAATTCAATTTTCTGAAGCTAGTTTTGTTAGCTTCACCAAAACCACTCAACCAACGCAGCTCGATCAGTGCAGAAACTCTCCCAAATGGGCTCCTAAGGTGTAGTCTTGTAAGATTAACAAAAGAAAATTCATCGAAATTCACAAAGGGACCTTGATTAGTCAAAGTTCTTCCAATATCACACCTATCTACTCTCATGCTTGAGAATTGAAATTAAGTGAGAATGCAAGCCTTCTTTTCATTGGTTATTGTGTACCTTGTTGTGTTCGGTTTGAAAGAAAAGGTAGAGAAAGGAAGGGAATGATAGGAAAACCTTTACAAATCTTGTTATTTGTACAAGCTTCCTTGACTTTTCCTTCCGTTCCCTACTTTTTCTTTCAAACCAAACACAATATTAGTGTAAGATGTAAATATAGGAGATCCGGATGGATTAAATGGCTTGATGGAGTCGATTTTTTTTTTCTATTAAAAAGAAAAAATGAAAATCTTAGTGCCTTTGAAAAATGGTTAACTTGAGACATTACAAAAATCATATAAATAATTAAAAAAAATATTCATACTTGAAAAACAGGCATCTTCTTTGGCTAAAAAAATAAACCATGAGACATTACAAAAATGATATAACATAAAAATGTTTTTTTATAAAGCCTGGAAGAGATACGATACATGAAAGCTCATAGCTGCAGCACAGTAGTGTGTGACCATGCAATAGCAATTAAATACGTCAGACCCTTGAAAGAAAGTGCCAAGAGTGCCAAACAATGGCCTCAGTCACAGACCAGCGGATGACTGTGCATGTTTTCACAGTTCTGTTCCTATTCTTGAAAGACTTTTCAATGATACCTTTGGAATCAAATTGGATGTACTTCTACTTCTGGGTGTTTTGGTAGTCTAAACCAACATAATGGGCCCAACCCACCCTATTATATAGAAGTGTTTGGATCTGCATTTTTGAGTCCAGATACATATCAGTTTTTGAATCCACCGAAAAATCAAATACAGGGAGTTAATTAGGAGGGTTGGGATTGGTTTTAGCTGTTCTGACCTTTTCAAGATTCAAGGCCCAGGAGGGAGAGAGAGAGAGAGAGGGGGGGGGGGGGTTGTTTGTCAAATTACCATGTAAAGACATTTCAAATTTAATTGGGTCTTACTGGGTCAGACCTGATAGTCACGATCAATAATAAGCTCAGCACTGAGTGAAGTACTAGGTCAGACGTTACCATTTGACAGTTCTATCCATTTGTTTTGGCAAAGTAAAGATCTTCTTTTACTTGGATTCAAAAACACTTCACTCTAGTCCTTAGGGTTAGAAGCGTATTTGAATTTCACAAAAAATATTCAGTTCAATCGATCAAATCAAACCCCAGAATTTGTCTCCTCGCATTATTAATTCTGCTCACTAGTTGAATTGCATTTGCATCTTGAATCTATTGTCATGCATGAATGGTGTCATTTTCTTATTAGTCTCTTTCTGACTTTTCGTGGCTCTCCAGGCCCAGCAATTCTGTCAATGGATTGAATCATCGATGATCAGAACCCAGTTCAATTAACTCAAAATACTTTATCATTGAATAAGTATGTACTCTGGTAGTCTGGTCCAATTAAAACCAGGCCCAACAATGTATTTACTTCTACCTGCACTGTGTGAAAGTTCAAGAAATCAAATTTTGTTTTGGAAGTTATTAATTTCTTATTGGTCCTTGTAAACTTGAAGTAGAAAAGTTACGGTCTCTGAGTCTATGTAAATATTTCAAACTCTATGATTGGGCTTTTTGATTGCCCAACTGTTCCTCAGGCCTGGTTCCAGCCTGGCCCAGTCCATTTTTAGTACGTGGCTGGAACAATCTTTAACTGCGGTCTTGATCTTGGTAGAGGTAGGTTTGGGTTACTCTCAATGCCATCTTTTTGTCAGAAAAAGGTGTCAACAGCTCTAAACATTCGTACACCCTTCGTACATAGGATTGGAATCTCAAATGGTCCCATCGTACTATCCAGTCTTCTCTGATATCAAGAATGATGGTGCCGGTTAGCTTGTTGGTCAGTTAGTTGTAGGCTTGTAGCAGAGTTGCACAGAGTCACAGACTTGGATATTGGAATCCAAACCCGACTTCAAGTGGGTTTGGGGCGGGTAGGGGCTGTCAAGATTCAAATATTCAATACATCCGAAATTTCGATATCAGATGGATTTTCCCTTTGTTTGGATATTAAATCCTGCACCCAATTTAGTAAATCGGATGAGATGCATGCCGATTTAACCCATCCGATCCAATAAAATTCTAAGTACGATAACTAATTAAGATTATGTGTAATGTAACAATTCATATAGATAAGATGTTATATATAACATTTTATTTTATATATGTATAAGTTAATTTTAAAAATTATTATTATTTTTTTATTTTTAATCTTTTTCTTTATTTTATTCACAATAAAATGGAGCTGGATTAAATCCAAATCCAATCGGAGCCCACTATTTCAAATTTCGGATTGAATTCTGGTATAGCTGGATCCGACCACTTGCATTAAAAAAAAGGGTAAAATACAAAACCCTCCCCTAAAGTTTCTAACAATCATAAAAACCTCCCCTATTGTTTCATTTTAACAAATACCTCTCCTGAACTTTTGAAAAAATTGACAAAATCTTCCCTTCTGTCACCTTCTTAGATGGAAAATGTTATGCACCAATTTTTTTTCAAACACCCATTCTACCCTTTTATAAACCATTTTGC